GCTGCGGCCTTTCCCCGCGTCCTACGCCCGCCACGACTGCAAGGACTTCGAGGCCCTGGTGAGTGTGCTTCCCTCCAGCCCCCGGCGCTGCCCGCTGTTTCCCAGGCCACGTGCCCTGTGGACCCGGTGAGGAAACACGACAGCCCCTAGACTTCATCTCCAGCCCGGCCCGCGGAGGGTTTCAGTGAGCTCAGAACACTCCCAAGGCCTCATGTGGACACTCCCCAGGCACTTTGGGGCTGTCCCTTGTGAATGACAAGTGACTTCCAGGAGTGAAGAGGGATTCAACAGGGAGGCCTCCGCACGATTTCCTGGTGTGGCCAGCAAATGGGTATTGATCTGAACCACCGGGCTCAGCCAGATAGGAAGTTACTCATCCCTTTGCAAATACACACACACACACACACACACACCCCAAAGTAACCAGAGCCACCCCTATACCTTGATCTTCAGGTGAGGTAACATATGGGCAGCGCTCTTATAAAGTGGAACATACAGTACACATGTGAGCTGTTGTTTCTTTGATGATTCACAAGGCACTTAATTTCTTGCAGAGTTCACTTTAGGGCCAGCATTCCAGATACCAGTTGTTTTTGTCATTCAAATGCTTGGAATTGCCTAGAAAAATATAATTTTCCAAAAGTGATTGTATAAGAAATAGAAAATTGAAACGGTATATAAGTCATTAAAGACACGGAGTTAGTAAATTCACTCAAAGAAAATTCCAGGCCTACCAGGTTTCCTTGGTGAGTTCTACCAATCACTGAGGTAATAAGTAATTCCAGTTGTGTACAAATTCTTCCAGAATATTGAAAAAGAGGCTAGTATAACCTTGATCCTACATCTGATAAGAATGATACAAGAAAAGAACATTATAAGCCAGTATACTCATGAGTATAAATGTAGAAATCCTCTATAAAATATTAGGATCCTGAATCTAGCAATGTATACAAAACAATTCCTCATTAACAGGTTAGGTTTATTCCAGGGATGCAAAATAAGTTCAACATTTGAACATCAATTAATGTTATGAACCACATTAACAGATTTAGGGAGGTGTTTAGAATTATGTCTGATGAGGTGGTCAGGGTTGCGTTCCCTCTTTGCTTTCACTTTCGGGATGTAATAGGACAAAGGCCCAGTCTCCTGCCTCCCACATGGTCCATTGAAACCTAGGCCAGGGATGTGTTGAGGGCATCGCAGGCCTAGGCCATCGTATACGATGTTTCAGGTTCAGGGAGGTCAGAGAAAGATAAGCCAACTGACTTTCCCCAGAGTTTGTTCTGTAAATTGAGATGTTCAGTTTTGTGAGTTTGTGATATCAGAGCCTTGGGGATGACATACCTTTATTTTGTCGATAGATTTTAACGGAGCCCTTGCTGTGGGCCAGGTGCCTAGGATGCAGGTTAACAGTGTGCTCAGCTGGACTGTGGGGTAAGCCCTATGCAGGCAGACCTCGGAGATTTTGCAGGTTCAGTTCCAGAGCACTGTAATAAAGTGAGGAAGCCCAGAGCAGGGACCCTAGTCCTTGGCACTGAGCTGGGGTCAGAGGACACCAACAAAGAGCAGTAGCTGAGACCATGCTGGATCCCTAGGGGACATGGAAGATTTCAGGGAGCAGAGAGGAAGAAAGTGCTGTTCTAGGAGGAGTAGCAGGACGGGCAGAATCCAGGAGCTCACCGGGAAGAACAAGTCTGCATTTTAGTGTGGCCGTTGTGGGGAGCAGGAAAAGGTGAGGCCAGCCAGAGCATGCAGGGCTTGGCATGTCCTGCCAAGATGTATAGATTTTATCTTTTTTATTGATTTTTAGAGAGAGGACGGGACAAAGACAGATAGAAACATTGATGAGAGAGAGGAACATCATCAACTGGCTGCCTCCTGGACACCCCTACTGGGGATTGAGCCTGCAAAACGGACATGTGCCCTGACCAGGAATCGAACCCAAGACCTCTTGGTTCCTGGGTCGACACTCAACCACTGAGCCACACCAGCTGGGCCAGGATGCATTTCTGAAAGAGCCTTGTGGTGGTAGGGTGAGAGAGGGATCTGTTCAGGAGAAGAGATAGGAGTCTGAGGGACCGCACCCACCGAGATGGTGCCCCACAGTGCACTTCATTAACTTTTACCAAGAAACATCCAAGTTGATTAGCATGCTCAGCACCTTCTCTTCCTGCTGGAAGGGCTTACTGGCAAACAGAATCAGATTTGTTTGATGAATACGGGATAAATGCAAAGGGAGCTTTGGAAGTGTTTCGATTTGTTTATGCTTTAAATTTTTTTAATTATGCAAGTAATATATTCTTGTTATAAAAAATTCAAATGCTATCAATCAAGTAAAAGTGCCCTTGATAGAGCTCACACTATCTCATGTCCCTCCTGATAGGTTATCAGTGCTCTCAGTTTGGGGCACACCCTTGCTTCCATACCCATAATTCCTTAGGAGAGCTTCAGAGAGCCCCAAATAGTCACCTCTGGAGGGACAGACTGTCCCTCTCATGGGGCCCATTGTGCCACTGAAGAAACACAGGCAGGTTCTTACCAGCCCATTCTGTTGCCATATTCCTTATTGCGCACCATTGTTAAGGAAACTGGTCCAGGCCAGACAGAGTCTTGGCTGTCTGTAGGCATGGCTTTAAGGAGCAGTTACCCAAGAGAAGGCCGCTCCCCAGGCAGGACCTGGTATGACCTCTGAGAGCATGCACATGTTCTTAGATAAACACACTTCAGGTTTCCTTTTGCCACAGTTTACATGAGTTACAGAAGAAAATGTGGAGAATTTGGCATCTGGACCTGTATCTGAGTCAGTGATTAACTTTGAAAGAAAAGGGAATGAGGTCTGGATTTGTTCTTCTGGGTCATTTTGTGGTTACCTGAAGAAGGAAGGTGTGGGCTGTTAAAAAATCTTGTATTTTGCTGTAGTGGGTTTGGCTCAGTAGATGGAGCATCAGCCTGTGAGCTTAAGGTCCAGGGTTTGATTCTGGTCAAGGGCACTTATCTCCGGTTAAGGCTCCATCCCAGACCCTCTGATCAGGGCATGTGTGGGAGGCAATTAATCGATGTGAATGACATCAATGTTTCTTTCTCTCTGCTCTCCCCCTCCCTTCCACCCTCTCTCTAAAAAAAAAGAAAAAAATCAATGGAAAAATATCCATTGGAGGATTAAGAACAACAACAAAGCATCTCCGTATTTTTTAAAAGTCTGTAACTTTTATTTATTTAACTAAAAGCACTTGGAAGTAATGTGAAACAGTTTATCATATTTAACCATTTTAAATTAATTTTCTCCATACTACAAGGTGTCATTGCACACCTATAGCACATGTTGCAGTTTCAAAAAATTAGAGCTCTGGCTTGAATTACTTTATTGATTATTGCTTTCCTGAGAATGCTCGCTGCTAAACCAAACTTGCATGGCTCTGGCCGTATCTCTCACACTCCCTAAAGCCCCAAATCATCTCTCAGGTGGCTTGTTTTGAGGATATTTTTATTCTGAAGCAGCACTTCAGTTTTACACCGGGAGGTCTTTCTATTCCCAGTGCCTGGCCTGGGAGGTGCTTATCAGATGTTTGAGGAATCAAATTGGGTATGCGTGATTGCCCAGGTGGAGGGTTTCTGCTCTTGTTCCTTGAACAAGGGTTGTCTGAGCCCTTATTGGTCAGAGAATCGGTAGCATTCTTGGGATTCCCTGTAGCCCTGACCATTGACCCTCAAACTTCATGTTTGTTTTTTTCCCCTAGGAACTCCATGCCCTGGTTTTCCATTAGCCTGCAGATCCCTTCTGGGGGTGGGAGGTGGGTGGTAATGGCTCCTTTATATATATAAAGGATGTGAGAGAAATACATCGATTGGTTACCTTCTGTACGTGCCCTGACCAGGGCCTGAGCCAGGGAGGAGCCTGCAAGCAAGGTACATGCCCTTGGCCAGAATCGAACCCGGGACCTTTTGGTCCACAAGCTGATGCTTTATCCACTGAGCCAAACTGGCTAGGGCGGCTCCTTTATATTAATTCCAGGTCCTTTCTACTTGAAAGTGGGGTTGAGGACCAGTAGCAGCATCATCTGGGAGCTTGTTAGAAATGCAGAATGCCAGGTCCTCCTCTCAGACCTACCCAATTAGGATCTGATTTTTTTTTTAAAATTCAATCTTTATTGTTCAGATTATTACAGTTGTTCCTCTTTTTTTCCCCCATAGCTCCACTCCACCTGGTTCCCAACCCACCCTCTGCCCTTACCCCACCCCACACTGTCCTCATCCATAGGTTTGCAATTTTTGTCCAGTCTCTTCCCGCATCTCACACACCCCTTTCCCCACCCCAAGAATAGTCAGTCCACTCCCTTTCTATGTCCCTGATTCTATTATAATCACCAGTTTATTCTGTTCATCAGATTATTTATTCACTTGATTTTTAGATTCACTTGTTGATAGATGTGTATTTGTTGTTACTTTGTTGTTCATAATTTTTATCTTTACCTTTTTCTTCTTCTTTCTCTTCCTAAAGAATACCTTTCAGCATTTCATGCATAGTTTCTGTTGAGAAATCAGCTGACAGTCATATGGGTATTCCCTTGTAGGTAACTATTTTTCTCTTGCTGCTTTGAAGAATCTCTCTTTGTCTT